CAACTACAAAGGACAGTCAATTAATAAACATACAATATCACAGTACTTGAGAAAGATACTGACTGCTACAGGATGAAACCAACAAGAAAAAGAACAAAAGGCACATCAGCTTTTATATCGCAAATCATATAGTTTTCAACAAAATTGAAAAAAGTGAGAAAAACAATCACAAGAGAAAAGTCAAACATCACTAAATACAGCATTCCCTTGTGTTGACCCTAGCCATCATTATTTCATTTTTTACGATGCAAAAACAAGCGTATCAATAAAAAAGGTAGATTATTTTGAATCTATCAAGTTGTTTTATACATTTCTTACATAAGAGAAAGGCACAGCACTTTTAGCAAAACACAGTCATGCACAAGTTTATTCACTTATTAACATAAAGAAGCCCCTTTATACAGAAGAAATCAGCACAAAACTTCTACTCAGAATTTTTCTAAATCTGCCACATGAGAAAATGCTAAATTTACACTGGCCAAATTAGATATGGAATAACCTCAAGATTATATGTAGTTACATATTCAGTTTCAGCTTCTTTTTAAATGTAAAACATATTAAAGATCTGCAGTCTAACAAGCTAACTTTTTTTTTTTTAATTCTCTTCCAGTAACTAGGCAACTGACAACTGTCCAACTGAGAATTATCTCTCTGAACAGCTGGCAATCAACACTAGAGTGGTTTTTTTTGTTGTTGTTGGGTTGGTTTTTTTTGTTGTTTTTATGGTCTTGCTTTTTATTTTCCCTTAGTAGAAAGATCAGTAATGACAGCTTCTTTACAAAACTACACAGCTCTAAAGAATCCACCTCTGAAACCTCTACTTTTTAGTCACCTCCGCATTTCCATTATCTCAGTAGTTGCTCTTATCAGTAAATGTTTACAACAGAATCTGAAAACCTTAGATTTATATGCATGAAGTCTCTATTTAGAGAATGTCAACACTTAAACAAAGAAATATCAAGAATAAAAATGGAAAGTATTTATTCATCTATGACAGCCTCCTTCAAGAACCATGACAGACAGCTAAACTAACTCCAATGTAACTTTTAACTGCTTTATTTCCCTTTTATTTTTAATACTCATCTACTGCTGAAAAATAGCATTTCACTCATATTAATCCATGAGTTAATTTTTAAAACATTCCTTCTGCTACTTCAGCTATCTTTTATAATTAGAAATTAACGTGGCAATTCCTTAATGATATAAAGGAAACAATGGTGAACCAAGCTTGATATATTACACTTTCCCCCACCCTAACAGTTCAACGAAACTCAAAAGCAAACTTACAATTAATAAGTTTCTATAGTTACTTGTCCATTCAATGCATTTGAAATGTTTTTAAGAGTCACAATGAGATAATATTCAAAAGGGCACATGAACTAAGTACAGCAAGATGATCTCACACAATTCACGGATGTTTAAAAAAAGACATTCAAACAAAACATCACTAACAATTCACTTTGTGAAAACATCACAGAGGCATACTCCATATATTCTGCATGAGGAAGAGGAAGGAAACTCCTCCTTTCATATTCTCCAAATATTTAGAACACTACTGATCAGAAATCTGCTTTAAAAACAACACAACTTCTCTATTGTTAAAGGCAGTAAAACCTTATCTCCACTTAATTATGTTTTTATTAAGCTCTGCTCTTAATATGATCTGATTTAAGTACACATACGACTTCATATTCCAATAAATTAAAAAACAGTGACCAAGCTCAAACTCACTCAAGCATCAAGTTCAGATCAGGCAAGATCCTGTTGCAAGATAAACAACGTGATGCAATGTAACATAATTTTGTGCGTGTGTGCGAGTGAGAGACTTGAAGGGGGCGGGGGCGAGTGCTGAGAGAAAGCAAGAGAGAATGCAAGCACGCGTCAGCATTCACAATGGAAAAAATACATATGTCCACAGGAGTTCTCAGTCCAGCACTTGCTATAATTTAGAATGGAGAAACAGAAAAATTGAGAGGCTTAATGCAACAAAAATACTGACGCTGCTTTATACTGCTCAAAATACAAGCATGAATCAAAACAGGTCAGCAAAAGGGCCGCTTTCTCTATGAAGTTCACTTTATCAGTATTCATGCAGAAAGGCTATGTCAGTATTTAAATTTTGGACCAAAACTTAGCAGTCAATACATACACTCTACTTCTCTGCAAAAGTTACAAGCATTACTTTAAAAGTAGGGCCTATTTTTTGCCAGTCTAATTTTGTTTCTACTAATCCAGTGGGACAAGACTGAATAACAGTCAATCCCTGAATGACAGGGATAAGCACAAACTTAAGCTACAAAAGTTCAGATAATCAGAAAGTCAGCTGGTAACCTGAAAAGAGAAGAATAAATTTTGCACTCAAAAAAATAAGACTTTGGTCATAATGGATGTATGTACTGCTTTCTATTTTGTGAACTAAGATGTTCAGTTAAAAACGTTTGGTTTTTTTTTTTCCTTCAATGTCTTGCAATAAGAACTGCCATACGATTCTTCAGTAGTTATGTCATTTTTTTGATACACAAAAATAAGTCCAACAGAAATCAGTCTGCATACTGAAGTCCTACATTACAGAAAAAAGAAAGAACACTATTAGATCATAGAAACTGCTCATGACTTCCGTATTACAACCAACTTCCTCCTTCCCAAACAACAACTTAGTCAGACTGTACTAAAACTTTTTGGAAAAATGAGAAGTTTCACAGAAAATTCAGTGAATAAACATTTCATGCTCAAACACACACTGAACACATTCTGAGTCACATACAGTATTACAGGCTAAGTAACCAAAATAATCACTTAGAAACAGTATACAGAAAATAAATTGTATCTTTATATTAGCTATTTCACAAGATTCCCTTTCCCTCATGCTATATGAGTCTGAGGGTCTGGAATAAACCCAAAAGTTACCAGCTTACAGAATGCCAGGACCTTTGAAAATTCCACAGGTTTGTGGTCAAGTGCAAACAGAAAGACCAACAAGAGTTAGCTCCATTGGAGTCCATTTCTCAGATCCATTCCACACCTTAACCAACTTCCTTAAAACACTCACTTCCTACATAATGTGACTGCAAATCCAAAGCAGAAAGTATAAAGTCAAACTGGAACTTCATTTGCACTTGTTACAGTTAAACAGTTTGAGCCTCTCTTTCCTAGCTGCCTATATTATTACTACTACTGATTTTAAGAGAGAATGTGTTTGTCGCAAACGTTTTTACTGGTGTCTAGCTAGCTACTTTTTATTTTTCAAAGGTTTATCTGCTACTCCTTATATATCTTTACAATTTGCAAGACAAGAGAATATGTAATTCTGATTTAATCAAAAAACAGAAGAACTCTGCTGGAGTACTAAACAAAAGATCTAATCTTTCGAGCATCCTTTCCAACTGAGTGTAAATAAACTGTAGTAAAATGAAAAGGCTTGTAATTTGCTATTTTAAATATACTTCATAAACACCAATTTTCTGTAACATCCTTGTATATCTCATACTACCTCATGTATAATGCAGAAAATCTATTTCATTTTCATCTATTGACAGCGAATTTAATTTACTAGTGCAGCTCTTTACGCGGATTATGTTATTAATTCTGCAATCAAGCTCTTTTGAATGTTTTTATTTCTTCCTAGAATTTTCACAATTCTACATTGATTCCCCCCACCACCCCGCTCTTCCACACCTTTCAAAATAATTTTTCCTTTAACTTTCCGAAAGGGGAATGAAAAATTTAAAAAAGCCAAAAAAAAAAAAACACCAACAGTATCAGCTCATAAACTGTATGTTTCAATGGAAAAAAACTACATGCATTACTTCAACTTTGGACTTGTAGGAATTACAAATCTCATTCACCAAGGAGATATACAACAGGTGCATTAAAATGTCCGTAACAAAACTCATTGTAAAAAGACCACAATATATCCATTAATAAGAGATTACCCACTTCTCCTTTATACAGAACTAATAAAACAGGGAAAATAAATGCTAATATGTTAGTGTCCTACTTAGACCCATACCAATTGCCTTCACTGTTTTAGAGAATTCATCTTGTTAAACTAGACCAAATGAAAAGTAGCTCTTATTTTTCCACAGAAAAGATGTTAACACCTAGTCAGTTCTAAATCACCAGATTACCATCAAAACAGAATCAAAACACCAAAACCAGTAACACCTTATCTGCATCCATTTATAACAACCCCCTCAGATCACATTCAAATACAGAATGTTAAATTGTTGACCCTAAGGAAAAAAAAAAAATCCAATTGCAGAAACTAAGATGTTTTATACTGTTATGCAAGACCTCCTCTTCAGAACTTTTAAAGAAGAAATATTAAATCAGGTATTTATTTCTTATCGTACACTAATATTTGAAAACTTGTTTCTTGCGTGCAGATACAATTTATGAGAAATACTTGTTCTTCAACTGTTCAGTGTTTCCCTTTTATAGCAGAGTTTTCTTCCACCACCGTGGTAAACATAATATAAAGAATATCTAAAGAGCAGCGCCTGTCCTCTTTACTTCACTCCAGAGCCAGTGAACAAAGCAATGAGGCATAAAGAAGGTACATAATGGATTTAAAGTAAATGGCCCATTCTTTAAGAGGAGGCCTCTCAATTTTATTCATTCTAGCTTAATTGTCATTGCAGTGTCTGAAAACTTCAAACGAACAATTATTTTTACACCAGCTGTCAAGTTGGTTCTTTAAAGCTAGGGGTTTTTTTTAAACTAGCAAAAAAGCAAACAAAATACTTTTTTCAGCAACACTGAAAACATTTTTAGACATATATATAAAGCACTTAGATTACTAGATGATAATCTACCCACTTCATTCCATACATCAAGTAAAATGAAACATCATATCCACTGTTGCAACTTTGTTGCATGCTTTTCAAAAAAAACGTTTCATGCTGCACTTGATGCTTATGTGCCAACACATGAAACATACTGACACGTTCATACAACCCATGGGATTTAAACATAAATAATCAGCTAATTTTCGCACCTACCTGGGTAAAAATCTTTGGATTTAGACAGCTTGATGGTGGCCCCAGTCTCTTTCTGCAACTGAACAATTGTCTGTCCTCCCTTCCCAATTATAGATCCAGCAGCATAACTAGGTATGAGGACCTTTAGAAAATATTGGCCATCCTCTGAAAAATTGAGATATGCATGGTTAATATGACTTACAAACTTTGATCTCTCCCCCCCAGACCCACAAATGATGTTATATCTTTAGCCTCATCCACTAATGCATGCATTTATATCTAACCAGTTGCGTCATTCGCAAGACATGTTTGGACTATGTCTCTGACATTTCAAAATACGCACTTTTGTTTCAAGCAAAATAAAGAATCCACATACATTCCTTAATTCTGTAAAAGAATAAGAATAAAATTTTAACTCCATTTCAAAGGCGGAATGTTTTCAGCTTTCCTGCTGGTAACCATAGCATACAGAAATGACTAAACCCTTTAAAAAAAAAAAAAAAAAAAAAGAATCTCTGCACAAAAACGTGCCTCGTCACAACTACAACCTTGCTTGAAAATACTGCAAAAGAAATGCCAAAACTAAGGAGGAATGAATTACAAATTCTAATGGGCTATTTGTTTGTCATTAGCAAACACATGAGAATAGCAATTAGCTATTGCATGCATTCTTCTTAAGTGAGAAAAACGACTACTTGCTACCAAATAACCCACCCAAAATGTGGGGTTTTATTCCAAGCATCTCAGCCACTGCCAAGAAAACAACTCAACATGGTGAGGATGGAATCACTTGCCTAAGTAATCCTGGTGTATTCCTTTAGCAGTTCTTAAGGAACAATGATCTCTTTTAAGCTCATTAATTAAAGGACATTAAGAATCTTTCCCGGTTACTCAAAAGCCTAAGTCACATATTGTAAATACACTTAAAAGGTGATGAGATAGACAATGCGAGTCCTCTACTCCCTACTAGCATTAAAGCATATAACCAGAACCGTAAAAAATACATTTGCAATGAATGGAAAAAAAAAAAATCCAATCTGATCCAGCAACTGATTATCAGTGCTCTCATCCCAAGTCAGAGACACTGAAGTCTGACAACCTTCTGTAACCAGCTCTGAAAAAGCGCAGGACAATAAAGGTTGGTCGATTCCCCAGACTTATGATCTCCTCAGTGATTAAAAAGATGTCCCAGTGGCTTTAGCATCAAGATTTTTACCACGGAATCTATTTTACAAAGTGATTATTGGGTTTTCCCTCCCCCCCACCCCTCTCCCCCCTTAAGCAAGAGGAGCGATCCGAGTTCACCTCACTTTCCCCATTCAAACCTACAAGCGCCTTAAGTGCTTGCGTGTGACAATAGTGCCCATCCATATTCATCCAGCCGGCTGCACGATGCACTATATTTAGCCAGCCTGCTGTCTTAATATCGGGCAAATAAATTCACCTCTGCCTCGGTGCATTGTTATGACGACTCTGGTGCAAACGAGCGGAGGAGACGCCGGTCCCGTTATAACTCATTTCCCCCGGGCAGGGCGGGCTGATAGCTCCCGAGTCCCCGCGGCAGAGCCGGCTCCCCCCGCAGTTGCCAGCCCTCGCCCCCCGCAGTAGCCAGCCCTCGCACCCCGCAGTCAAACAACACCGTGCACAGGCTGACAATAGCACCGAGGCCAAGGCAGAGGGAAACGCAGGGCAAGGCTGAAACGCAACTTGTGACCAGAAGGATGCAAAGGGAACAGAGTGCGTTTGTCTCCTTCCAGCCGGCTGCCATTGATCGGAGCCAATTGTGCGGAGGGAGCCCCGCACGCCTGCCTCCCCGCCGCCGGGTCGCGGCCGCGTAGCCCCTGCGTGGGCATTAAATCAAAAGCCCGGTGGATGCCGAAAAGCGACGCCATTTTGATGAATGATAACGTTAGAGAAATGGGAATGGTTGGGGGGGCGAGGGGGAGGCAGGCAGGTAGGGAAGGAAGGGGAGAGGTGGGTGGGTCGGGCGGGGGGAGGCGGCGGAGGAGATACCCACCGCCCGTGTTGGTCCTCTTGGTGCTGCCCGCTTCGGGGGGGGCTTCCAGCGGTCTTTTCCGGGAGTCCGGCGGGTCCAGGTCTATGGGAACCCCGGTGTGGGTCCCGTTCTGCTGGATGGGAGCTGCCGCCATCATGTTTGCTGCTGCTCGGAGGAGAATTGTCTCTTCCCTTCGGTGCTGGGGGGGCAGGGAGGGAAGGGGGAGGAGGAGGAGGAGGAAGGAAGAGGAAGGGAAAGGGGGAGGAGGAGGAGGAGAAGGAGGAGGGGAGGGGGCTCGTCCCGTTCTCTTGTCCTTTTCGAAAATGTAGAACTACGCTCGGGGTTGCCGAGGATGCTGAGCGCCTTGTTTATCTGGCAGCCGGGGGGAGGGAAGGAGAGGGAAGGAGGGAGGGAAGCGGGCAGGACTGGGCTGGAGGAGCAGCTGCAGTGCAGTGTCAGGAGGAGATGAGGAGCAGGGAGACGGGAGCGAGGGGGCGAGAGAGGGGAAAGAAGCGGGAGAGGGGAGGAAGGGGGAAGTGAAAAGAGTGAGACGGGAGGAGGAGAGGAGAGGAGGGGAGAGAGTGGGAGAGAAGAGCGAGAACGAGTGAGACGGAGGAGAACGGGCGGGAGGGGGGAGCGGCGGGAGGAGGAGGGAGCGGTGTAAATGGTGGGCGAGTGAGCGAGGGGGAGATGATTCACACCGCCTCCGAGCCCCTCCGGCCCCTGCCTGCCCTAACGCTGCGGCGCGGCCGCCCGCTGCTCCCGCGCCCTCATGCTCTCCTCGGCTGACGGGCTGGGCACGGGGCTGAAGTGGGGGGGCTCCGTGTCCACCCACCACCGCCGCCGGACGCTCCGGCAGCTGGCGGGCTCGGCTGAGCAGGGTCCGGCCGCGAGCAGGGGCCCACCGACCTCGGCTACACCGCAGAAGCCCCTGAGGCAGGAGAGGTTAGAGCCGGGGAAGGGGGTTCCAGACTGGGGGCAGCTGGGCGATATGGGGGGAGGCCGGGGGTAGGGGCCGGTGCGGGGGGAGCTTACAGAAGAAGGTGGGGTCTCCCTTCAAGACGGGCGGGAGATCTGGCCAATGGGAACAAAAGAGAGCGAGGCTGGGATTGAGCGGCGCGGCCAATCACGGGTCGTGCACGGCAGAGCCGCTGGGGGGGAAGGCGGGGGGGTTTAACCTCTGCGGCGGCCCTAGGGGTGGGGGTTGGCGGTGGGAGGGCGTGTGGGGAGGCCGCTCCCGCCCCAGGAGGGTCCGCGCAGTGGTGCCGCGTCACCTGGGTTACGCGCAGAGCCTCGCAGGCCCGCGGCTGCGAGAAAGGACGGCTGTGGCTGCGGCTGTGGCTGTGGCTGCAGAGGAGGCGCCGGATAGCGGGGCCGTGTCTGAGCGGGGCCAGCCGCGCCTCCTCCATCGGTGCCGAGCGGGATTGGCACTTCTGCCGGCAGCTGGGCGAGGGCCGATCCCGCGGGCTCATAGGAAAAATAATAAAGAGATTATTTCTGTGCTGTGACAGCTGGGCTAAGCTAGAGCTGTGTGACACAGCTCGGCATTTCTTACATAAATATTTAATAGAAACGCAAAGATGTTTCACTGCAGCCAGGGGTATTTCCGTTTGCAAATGTCAGAGTATTCAGGTTGAAGCTTATAAGGGTTGCGAGGTGCCGAGAATGTGAAGGTGGGAGGGATTGCCCGTGCGCTAGAAAGGCATTTTTACTCCGCTCTGTGCTGTTTAATCCACTCATTACCTTTGAAAAAATTGGCAGAGTAATATAATCATAACTGCCGTGGTCAGCAGTGAGCATCAGTTCTAGCAACGTGCCTTTGCTGCATTAAACCATGTTGTGTGCTAAATTCATATTGCTGCGTGTATGTACGGAATGGCCGCTGACTCGGTTTCTTGTCCAATACAGGCTGAAAACCTGGCTGGCTGTGGATGAAATCCAACTTCCATTCTGAGCTCCCTGGGAAACCCAGCCTTAGTGTTAGTAATCACTTACCACTAATGCAGCCCAAAACAATTTTTAGAGCTTAAAATACAGATTTCATACATAATACATAGTACAGCACATCGTCTTGCGAGTACTTATAAATTATGAGCCAGATATCTAATATACTATTGGGTATTAAAGCATGGATATTTTAGTATCTGAACAGACTCCTGCCCAAAAGTATTCACAAATTAAAGACCCAATCTAGCACTGTAAATTGGAAACTTTCAATAGCTTCTCTGGGAATTGTGTCCCAGGAATGCAGTATCTAGCCTCACAGCTGGATGAAACAGATGCAGCACATTCAGTAACAAGTTGATAGCATGTACAGTCAGAAAAAATATTGTGTAAAAATGGTACGTTCATAATCATTTTATACCCTTTGTATCTAAGATATTCTGACTCATGGTTGCTTCATTTACTGACTGAAATAAAATTTTTGGCTTCTGTTACCTTTGCGGTTGCTGACACAATTACGGTACAGCAAGCTGAGGACTCTTTTGGCTCTTTCATTTTCTTTACTAAGTTCCAGTTGAAGAATTTTAATTAGTATTTGAGCCAGAAAGAAAACTGTGTGGCTTAAAAACCTCGGGTCCAGTTTGAACGGTCATCAGTCCCAAGCAGCCTCTTTTTATTTGTAAACTGAGCAGACGGCTTACAGAAAATTTAGAAGGCAAAAATAAAAAACATTGATGCTCAAGTGAAGCCATTTTTAGTCAATTTCCGCAGTGGAACTGTAATTTATAACACTGGTCCCTTTATCTATCTGAATGTGCCCCATTCATCTGTGGTAACATTGAATCAAACAATTCTCTTGTTTTAAGACCACATCTGCTTTACTGTGTCCCCTGCACCAATTTTAATTATGTGGCAGGTCTGATTGGATTCAGCACCTGCAAGTATTCCCTTTGGGAATTCCAATTAGCTTATAAAACATTTACTTGATTGCATTCTTTAAATAAAAGTATTGTTTCATCCTAACAATAGGACTATTAACGCGTAGAATGAAAAAGGGTTTTAACGTGATAAGCAGCGTGTGTTTTTTGTGTATATGTCTTCCATAAGCTTAGAGGAAAATGGTAATCCTGAAACCTAATTTCTCCAGGCTCAGCAGATGTCTGTCCTGTGTTAGTCTGTTTCTTCATGAACAGCTGTCTCACAAGTGCCTTCCCTTGTCTCTACAGAATGTCTTTTGTTTAATAATTTCTTTATATGTTATCTCCTGGTCCCACTAAGACAAGCTTTTAAAAAATCTTTTTTGGTACCTGTAAGTAGTCTCTTTATAGTTGAATAGGTTTTGAAGAATTTAGCTAAAGCTATAGAACTAGCCTCTCAGCTATTTTCTTAGTAGGATTTCTACTCAACTAAGCAAATGGCTGCATATAATTGACATTTTAAGTTAATAATTAACAGTTGCAACAACAATTTAATATGAGCAAAATTGTTAGCTATTACAGATATGCTTCAGAATATGCTTCTGAAAGCACCGTCTGTCAAAGCCGGTAACCTGTCTGGGGCCGGGATCTTGAGGTCTCGGAGCGTATGGCAGAAAGTGCAGCCCTCTAGCGGCAGAGGTCACGGGTAGTTTTTGCAAGCTGTGATTTTATCACGGGTGAGGCATGATGAAATAGTTTTTAGCCAAAATAAATAAATAAATAAATAAATGCAAACTACCCAGGACACTGCCTTGTGGTGCTGTCAGTCTCCTGTATTTTTCATGGTCTGAAGCACCTATAGAAATAGCGGAGGCCTGTTGTACAGCTTTGTTTCCACTTTGCCATTATTTCTGTGGAAGAAGGACCAATGGAAAAATTTTAGAATGTCTGTTATCAGCAGAATTTCCCTTTTTTTCTCTCTAATCTGCTTCCCTGCCAGTCTTTTCTAGCCAGTTCCAGACTGGCATATCTACCCAGTTGTTTTCAAGCTGTTCCTTTTCCTGTTTCTTTCAGTTATCTCCTACCAGTAACTTCAGAAAGAATTAGTTCAGTGATAGTATGAAATACAAGTTCAGTTTGCCAGCCTTATTTCTAAGAACACTCTTGTCTGTGAGAGGTGTGAATGGTCTCTCTCACAGGCACGAGAGCTGTCTTTATAAATGACAGGGATTAGGAAGAGGCATAAACCAAACTAATGAAATGCATATGTTAACACATGGAAGTCCACAGAGTAACTTTACATCAATTACAGAATCACAGAATCACAGAATGGCCAGGGTTGGAAGGGACCTCAAGGATCATGAATCTCCAACCCTCCTGCAACATGCAAAGCCACCAATCTCCCCCTCCCCATTTAATACTAGACCAGGCTACCCAGGGCCCCATCCAGTCTGGCCTTGAACACCTCCAGGGATGGAGCATCCACAACCTTCCTGGGCAGCTTGTTCCAGTACCTCACCACTCTCTCTGTAAAGAACTTCCCCCTAACATCCCACCTAAATCTCCCCTCCCTCAACTTAAAACCATTTCCCCTTGTCCTGCAGTTATCAACCCTTTCAAAGAGTTGATTCCCCTCCTGTTTGTAGGTTCCCTTTAGGTACTGAAATGCTGCAATGAGGTCACCCCGCAGCCTTCTTTTCTCCAGGCTGAACAAGCCCAGCTCCCTCAGCCTGTCTTCATAGGGGAGGTGCTCCAGTCCCCTGATCATCTTCGTGGCCTCCTCTGGACTCTCCAACAGCTCCCTGTCTTTTTTATACTGGGGGCTCCACACTTGGATTACCTCAGTAAACACCTCCTAACCTGATTAGGTTCACTGAGCATCAAAATATATGAATCAAATATCAAAACAGGGGGCCTGTTTCATGTTTCAGTGGTTCAGTGACTACCTTTGGAACCAAACTCAATTCTGTTTCTGGTAGAGGTGATGGATACCTCTTCTAGTTAATAGAATTAATGGCTTGGTTTTCCTCTTATAGGAAATATGACAGAGCCCAGTAATCTTTAGATGAAAAATGATATCTCTTAAACATCCAGAGTAGGTAAAAGAAAACAAGTTCTGTTTTTATTCACAATAAAACTGGTATTACCGGGAGTTCTTCATTATCAAACAATTGCTCTGGCAATTGATGTCTGGCAAACCTTTGCTCCACTAAAACTGCAGTTACTTGAAAACTGAAATTACAACTTATTCTTTCAAGCCTTTAGCATCTGCCTCTGTTTATGATTTATTTTTTTTTTCTGCAGTAGTCTACCAGTTAAACTATAGTCATTCTTGATTAAACTATCTAAGTGTTCTTTGAATACTTCATGAATTGTTCGTCAGTAAATATTTTTAAATCTCATTGGAACTTCTAAATTGCATCAGCATTAATCTTAAGAAAATCATACCCAGATTTAAGGAAGGAAGCTGAACATCCCATTTAGAAAGAGAGAAGCCTGATTATCCATTTTCCAGTATTTATATCTCCTGTATTTTTCACACATGTATTGGATGCACAGGGCAACAGTTAAATCCTTTCATATTGTAGATGGTTACTGTGTGGTAGCTTTCTTTGCTTGCTTTCTCTGTGGATGGTGACTTCACAGTGGTAATAATTTGACCACACCATTTATCATAATATGAGTACATTAACCAAAATTCTCTGCTTAGAAGTGGAAGGAGAGAGTGAGTATAGAAAATCAATGGTCATTTCTGCTGTCTTAGCAAAGGGATCTCATGCTTCCTCCTACTCCACAGTGTTCATCAAAATTCTTCATTCCTACAGTTGTAGATCTGTTTTATAAACTATTCCTGTGTTTCTTCTATTTTGAGGTTACCTAATAACATACCCTGATGTCAGTATGAAAAATAAGGTAACCTCGGAACAAGATAATTTTTTGTCTCCTACAAGGAATTGACTAGGACAATGGTACAATCCATAAAACTCCAATGGCTAGAGAATTTTTCCAAAAAGTCATCTCCATAGTGACTTTGCTGTACAGTAAGACTTTCTATTTCTTAGAATGAAAGAAACTGAAGACTCAATATCAGCTGTTTTTCAAGAGTTGTATTCTTCTTTCCTGTTTTCTCATTTATTTTTTAAATACTGAAATAAATAAATCAGAGATTAAAACAGACACAAGACAGGAGTGATTCAGTCGTAATGAAATAATGTTGTAACTTAGTAGGTGAGAAATAAAGGAAGTGTATGTTAGTTTACGGTGGTGCTGACTGCATACATGTTAGCATTGTATTACAAAAGAATGTCAGAAGAACCAGCTATCACTCCAGATTCTTAAAGATGTACTCATCTAAGTGCTGTATGGTGAATAGGGTACTGTTAAGGGAATCAGTATACCTGTTTTTAATCTCTGCTGTTAGAACTGATATTGCTGTATTACTATTTTATGCCTCATTTTGCCCACATTCCACTGTCTTACTTATTTGAAATTTTGACATTTTAGGGTAAAGGAAAGATGAAAAAGAAACGTGAATGGAGAAGTCAGTTTCTTGGATCTTGTTGTGAAGCCTGGTCCACTGCAATACTATACCATTTCCTGTGAATTGAAAGACGTGAAATAATGTGGTAACGTAAGGGCATCTCTACTGAAGCTATATCATGTTCTCAAAGATAGTGATGAAGTCTTAGTTGTTCACATAAATTAAAACTAGTGAAAACAGGTCATAACTTCAAATATAGTCCAATGACACAGGACCTTTTTTGAAACCTTGAATTTTGCTGTAGTCCTGTTGACAATGAGAGTTATTTTAGCAAATGAAAAGAATGGAAAGGGAGGAAGTAAACATTCCACAAGAGACAAAGGAGAAACAAGAATGATGTGATGGAAACAAAGTTACTGATTTTTCTGTTGTAACCGTGATTAGCAAAATTTTAGTTGTGTACATCGTTTTGCTCACTTCAAAAATAAATACTATTTCAGACCACTAAAAGTATGTACTAATAAAATTATACTAGCAAACTCTTCTGTGTTACCAACCAACAGAAATACATTTTTATCAGTATAATTTGTAATCAACTTTCCAAATCATAAGCTATTCTGCCAAAGAAATCTTTTCTGTGAGTAGAATATTAGCATAGCAGAAGGATTTTTGCCAGTGGAAAAGTAACTACAGTCACATCTGTAAAATCATTGCAACAGCAAAAGTTCCTAATAAAGATTTGGACATTTTTAATAATATTTTAAAAGACTTAGTGTATAAAAAAGCATATACCAGTTCACTAAAAATTAATTTTCAGCACAGAGAGATTTTAGGAAGTTGTTATTACCTTCAAGAATACAAGGTTATGCTGGGAACTTCAGCTGATTCTTCCCTGTGGGTTAGCAAATGCCTTAGAGTTTGCTCTTAAGAAATTATTTTGCTACAACAATGTAAGTTGATTATTCCAGTGCTTTATAGCTCGGTCTACTTGAAAATAATTATTTCAAAATAACCATGGATTGGAAATTCTAGTAGAGGAAAGGCATAAAACTTAGTGTTAGGATAAATTGGCCAGAGTAATTTCATGCATATCTTCCTGTTTGTCATACAAACATACATCTGTGTGTCAGGGGCACACAAAGGCTATCTGGTCTGAGTAAAATTTAGGGAGTAGACATAATGCTACCTATTTGAGACAAAGTGCAGTAAGGTTAGAACAGATAGTAGTACAAACCTATCTAAGTTACCATTTTGAGACAAAAGGAGGTAGTGGCAAATTATTAATTACTTTGAGGTTTATTCATCTTACCATGCAAAATATGATCCTGTTGCAAAATATGATTTTGATTTATAATTCACGAAGACCAGTACGGTGAAATTTTATATGTTTGTAACTGGATGCATGACTTTTAATCCAAAAAACATAGAACAACTGATATGCTGTAAAAAAGTGTATGTCTATCTACCTTGCTGAATTGACAATACATTTCTATTTATTTCAAAGGATGACAGCAGCATTGCTTCAGTATTGCGGATTTAAGCCTCCAAATCTCATATCCAAGCTTACTATAAATCAATAGAAATCTTCCTTTTTTTTTTTTTTTTTTTGTATATGTGAGCTCTTAAGCGTTTTTCAGATAAGCTGTATATTATTTAAAACGTTCCACATGCATATATTATTTGTAGAAAAGTTTTTCTGCTTTTTTTTTTTTTTTTTTTTTCTTATCTTGAGAACCCTCCAGGCTGACAATAGAAATCCACAAACCTACTGGATGCAAACAGTTCTGTTGACTTCAAGGGCTTTATGTCACTTAGTATGAAATACTTGAGGGAAAAATAAGTGAGAAAGGGAAGAACTTATATAAAAGACAGTAAGATAAACTGTAAGGCTTTCATGCCATAAGAGAAAGTATCTTTATATTCTAGTGATGGACAATTTGAATTAGTTTTGCATAGATATATTTTTATATAGAGGGATATGAAGTGTCTAGGAATATATAATTTATCATTTCTAATAGACTAAATATAAAGAACAGCCAGTATATAATTAAAGACATGCATTACAACAATTCAAAATCCAAGTTAAGGTGAAAATCTTTATGTAGCTATTGTGTATATTGATAAAAAAAAAGATACAAACATGATGTTATAGAAAGCTGTATGTAATATGTGTATACATACGTATATTTAAAAAAAAAAAAAAGTGTGATTGTTTTTACTCTCAATTTTCTATGGAGTATTTTGTTTGTTGTATTTCAGCCAATTAGGAAGATTTCCTCTTTCAAAACTTCTAAATATTTGTTTTATTCTTTTTATTCTTATTTTAATTTAGAGGTTCAAGTGGTGTCAACTGGAACAAAGAAATTCATATGTTGAAACAGTAAAAATGAAATTACTGCGGAAGTGATTCATTGTGAGATGAACGTCCATACAAAGTAAAAATGAGAAAATATAGAAATAGGATTTCTGTGCGTATTAGCAACAGTACTTACAGTACTTATAGTACTTCATCATGGCTCGCAACAAAGATATTTATAAGTGGATCTCCCACCTCAGTCACATGCTGTTATTGCTTTGAATTGACTGCTGTTAGATTTCTGTAATTCCATACCCTGGGATCTTGTTCTACATGTTTACCCCACTTAGTATGCCTGTAAGTATTTAAAATGGAAATGAACTCTAAGCTTTATATGTGTTTATAACAAAGGATTTGAATCCCTTAAAACCGTATTTATGATTTCTTTAATATAGTTTATAAAATACATGTTCAGTCTGATAGCGTACATTTGCCAATTTTGCCAGTTAAGGTTGGTTACTGCCTACAGTTTTTTATCTTGTTAGGATGTCATTGCAATGAAATTAAGGAAGATGTTCATGGATGAAGCGTAGAATATCAGCAGCCACCGGGCACATTCTTAATAGAAAGTGTTGACAGCTTTTGTAGCTGTAACTTCTTTATAGCATAGAAAATACAATAATATTTCATGCTATAGAAGGGTGATGATAGATACAGATACACTACAACTATACTTGCGTGTTTATGTTGAGATGTTGAGAAGTCCATTAAAACTATCATATCCTATCCTACCTCAAAGGACATTGTTCAAATCATAGAATCATATAATGGTTTGTATTGAAAGGGACCTTAAAGATCAGATAGATCCAAGTCTCTGCCATAGGCAGGGATACCTTCTGCTAGATCAGGCTAACCAGAGCCCTATCCAACATGGTTATGAACAATTCCAGGGATGAGTCATCCACAACATCTCTGGACAACCTGTTCCAAGGCATCACCATCCTCTTAATAAATAATTTATTCCCATGGTCTAATCTAAATCTACCCTCCTTTATTTTAAAGCCATTATGCCTTATATATTATACTTATAAAGGGTATCTCCCTGTCTTTCCTGTTGACCTCCTTTAAGAACTGGAAAGCCATCAAGAGGACTCCAACAGTCTTCCCTAATCTAAACAATCCCTACTCACTTAGTCTGTTTTCATAGAAATGCTCTGGCTTTCTTCTGAGTCTTCTGGACTCATTTTAACAGGGTTTTTTTTGTACTAGAGCCAGAGCTGAATATTTCAGGCACAAACTCTACAAAAGGCCAGCAGAGGGGAAGAATTATCTCCATTGACCGCTGATCACTATTCATTTGATGTAGCCCAGGAAGCAGTTGGCTTTCTTTGCTGCAAGCATACTCTGCCTACTCATTTTGAATTTTTCATCCAACACCAGTAAGTCCTTCTCCATAGGGCTGTTCTCAGTGTATTCATCGCCCAACCTTTATACATGCTTGGGATTGTCCTGACTCAGGTGCAGCACCTTGCCCTTGTTAAACTTTAGGAGGTTAGCACAGGCTCAGTTCTCAAGCTTCTAAAGATCCTCCCAGATGGTTTCATTTCCCTCCAGAGCGTGAGCCACACCAGATCTTCGCAAACTTGCAAACTCCATTCTATTGTCCGTGTCACTGGCAGAGATATTAAATAATTCTGATCCTAATACCAGCACTTAAAGGGCCAAACAGATCTGTTGCTGGTCTCCACAAAGATATCAAGCAGCTGACTGTAACTCTTTGAATGGGACCCTATCCACCAAGTGGACTACCTATTAAATCCACATCTCAACAGTTTGGAGACAAGGATATTATGTAAGACACTGTCAAATGCTTTATACAAGTCCTGGTAGATTACATCAGTTCTTCTTCCCTTATCCACTAGCACCGTAACCCTGTCACATAAGGCCACCAAATTTGTCAGACATTATTTAACTTTAGTGAAGCCATGGTGGCACACTCTCCATTCTTCAGGTGCCATAGTTTCCAGGATCTGCCTATATTTCCTGCCTCATTAACTGTTCAGTCTAAAAAATATTTTTTCTTCCCCAGTGAATTTACTGTGCTTTTTGACTACTTACTGCTTTAGGAAGATGTGACAAAGGGTAGTACTAAACTACTGACTTGTTAAGGAAAGCACACATAACACAGTGATGCTTGAAAATGAGTATGTTAAAACTTTATCAAATGTTAGTATCTAAGGGTAGTAGTAAAAGTGTAAGCAGCAAACACAGGTAGTGCAGCCAAATTCAAATAAATTATTTTGTATAAGAATTGGAAAGATTTGGTTCAGTTATGCAAATCCTCATTCACTTTATAGATATATATTGTTCTATTCAACACTTTTTTCTCCCAAAACAATCAAAACACCAAAATGTTTTCTTCTGCTTTTCAACAACTTTTTATACAGAAGATTTTTTCTACTAAGATATAATTTTGATGATTTAGGAAATATTTATATCTCAAATGATTGTATATATGTCTCGTATGAATGGAAAGATTATTGTAATTATCTTTTGGACTGCATGGATGTATTATTCATTATTACATCATTGTACTGTGGAGGATCTGGGTTGTAATATATACGTCCAAAGGTTATGCATCAGTTAAAAATCGTTAAAAGGAATTTATCTCTTTATTACATTTGTAACATTAATGGAAAAAAAAATAAAATTAAAAAAAAAAATGCTGTTAGCTTTCCAGGAACATTTTTTTTAATTTAGAACCTCTAAGATTTCGTAGGAAAATATGTCACATAATCAAACAAATACTTGGAATTATAGGTTCTGCAACACCATATTATGTTCTGTGGAAGTCACTTATGGAAAAAAAAAAACCTATCCTCATAGTATTCAGTGTCATCTTAATAAAACACATGATGACAGCAGGCATTTGTTGAATTGAAGTTTGAATTATGTTTTATGATTGTTTTCGGCATTCAGTTTAATGAACTAATATTCTTTGTGAATCCTGACATTTGAAAACAAAGCTGAAGATTGTAATTAATTTATTAAATTAAACAGTTCTTCTTTGTATAGTGAACCACACTGTTTTCTTTAAAAGATTTTAAATTACTGGAATTTCATTTTAATTTGAAAGCCTTTATAATAAAAGAAAAATGATTATTATAAAACAAGTATATACGTCTATGTACATACATGCATTTTTGTATATACATGAACAGAAATAAAGGAGATTCTCATTAATGATGCATGTTTTATGTGCTTTTATATGTATATTTATCCATGCATTCATACACAAAATCATACAGCAGTGTTGAGCCCTCTAGTGGTAAGAAACTTCTCAGTTAGGAAGGCTTTAGTCAAATTATATTTCTCCTAAATGGCAGGTGTCCAAACTCAACAGCACTATTATACCATCATAGATGTTCAGAATGACTTCCCATAGTCAAGATGGGTCTGTATTTATTTGAAAATACAGTTCTTCTAACAGAAGAGTACCTACAATACACTAATGATAGTTTGTAATATCTGTTTCAGAAAAACCACAACATGTGAATACTGTCAAACTAATACTGTCAAGTAAGCATCTTCACTCTCAACATCAAATTATATACTTCCACAGGTAAGTACCAAATTTCAGAAGAAAAGTCTGCATTTCAAATTGAAATGAATGTTTACCTAATTTGGCCTTTCCACACTAAAACGAAGGATTTTATTCTTCAGTGGCCATGAACATTGTTTCAACCAGATTATTTTAATTGTGTCACTTCTACATACTACATAATAATTACCATTTTTCTAATAGCTTTTTGTCTAGATTAACTTTAGATGTTAAAAATAATGGGAGGATCTAAAGAAATGTAGAATCTTCATTCTTAATGATTTTAGTAATGTGGAGGCTTTTGAGCCACTCAGATTCTTTTAAATCATTATCATGCATAACTTCTTAGGAATATGACAGCTTTCTTTCTCCATATGATGCATCTATTTAGTTCCCTTTGTTAAAATATTAACATTTTATAACACTTTATGTATGTTTAACATACAAACAACATACATCAGCTATACAAATAAGAAACTGTGGTGTAGAGGGGCAGAATCTGCAAGTGGATTTTGTCATCTAATCTAGTATGTAATGAGTGAACTTTAAGAATGTGAACTTTGGCATTCGAATTGTGCTTACAAGCAAAAAAGTCTGCAAAATTGCTAATGCATATAGAGAGTTAGATACCTATTAGAAGTTCATGTAGTACTTCAGTTTTCGCTTTGGAAATGATTCAGTCCGTTCACAAAAAGCCAAAGCCCTGCAAGGAAAAGGTAACTGGACATTCTTCGGTGTACGGTCCCCAAATCCAACAGATGTCGTTGGCTCATGCTAAGCACATAGGATCAGGCTTTGTACTTGACGTAGAAGTGAGTACTTGCTTCATAAATATGCAGACAATTCACTCATTGAATAAAGCATACTAATGTCTAATTCAAAAGGAAAATCTGGAGTTCCAGACTTTGTTACAAAGCTTGTCTGCGTATCATGCATGAAGGAGCAACTGGATAAAAGAATAAAATACTTCTAGAGCAGTGATAATACTGCAAAGCTGCCTTCTTTTCTAATCAGTGGTCACATTGCTTGTCTACCTGCAGGAGCCATTGCATGCTCTCCTGGTAAATCCTATTTTTTTTTTTTTTTTTTTGTGTGCGTGTGTGTGAAAGCAATTCATTTTCACTAGAAGAAATAGAGAATACCCATAGCCTAACTCATTGTGTGATAGAGATTGTGGGGATTTTTTTTTTTTTTTTTTTTTTTTTTTAAATCGATTCTATGGATAGTTCCAGTGAAATGAATTTTGGTAAGAGATATTTCATATTTATCAGTAATATGAAAAAAAACAAAACCCCTCTTACCTACATACTGGGAAAATACTATAATTACTACCGGAATTGGGATAGAGAAGCAGCAGAAACATACACTAAACCTTCAAAAATAAATATGTTAGTTTATAAAAAGAAACAACTTAATTCCCTTACTATAAGAGCCCAGAGCTGTAAAACAACTACAAACAGAAGCTTCTCCTAAAAGTAGGAAAGAAAAACCTGGATCTTGAACAGACTGAATTTTAGACAACTTCTTAGGGTGCTTAAAATACAAGTTTTTGATTCAAAAGTATTATTGAATGGCAGCCTGATAAGAAAAGAAATTAGAGACTGCTAATATGAAGTCATCAAATCAAGTTGTACTTTCAGGCTGCTTCCTCCTTTGCACTTGATATTACTAGCATCTCCTCTGTATCTTCAAGTATAGGTGGCATTATTAAATCATGGAAACAGAATCACAGAATGCCTTGGGCTGGAGAGGACCTTAAAGATCATCTAGTTCCATCCCCCTGCCCTGGGCAGGGTTGCCAACCACTGGATCAGGCTGCCTATGGCCTCATCCATGCCTGGGTGAGCTGTATCCATGAAGAGATGGAAAGTGAAAACCCCAGTATTCTGCAAAGCAAGTTGGGAAGAAATTTTGCAAGCCAAAACAAACAGGATGAGTTTCAGTTCCTTCTCATGGTGTGTGTGGCACTTTCTGTATCCATCATCAATTACTCTACTACAGCACAGGAAAAAAATCTAAAACCAATAAATGCAATATATCTTCCAGAATTGCCTTTTAATTCCCAGTAATTAGATTGTGTTCAATTTCTGATAATAAGATCATACACGTGTGCTGCCAGATGTATTTCTACTTCCCTTCAATATACCAGATAAATGTAGTTAGTCACATTTTTTAGCATAACCTAAGATTCTCCACGTGTTTTTTTATTTTATTGTGTATTCTCTCCAGCATTTCCCATCTCCATTTCCCTTTAACATTAATTCAAAACCTTTGTTAGTTCTCTTTTCACAGAAGTACAGAAAGCTCAGGTTAAGAATATAATCTATGATAATACTTAAGTCTATTTTAGTCACTTTTTTTTCTTAGGTAGATTCTGCCATCCTATTCAGATAAACTGCATTTTTTAATCTGAAACACGTTCCTTTTTGTCTGGCTGTATTAAATAAAATTTTCTAGATCCTGCCCATTGAAACATTTTCATTTATATTTCCATACTAGTAATCCATCCCTTAGTTATCAAGAGTCTGCTAATCATCAGATCATTATTAAAAAGTGTATGCAATGTTCATTAATAATGTTAGACACTTGTCAATAACTTTCATAGTCTTCTCCCTCCCATTCTTCATTCAAATTGGAGATGATAATTACTATGTAACAAATTTGAACAAGTTAAAATAACTTTAAAATAACTTTAAAATTCAAAAGGAGAAGTTATTTTATTTTGCATACATTTTATGCATAATCCTTTGATTGTTCATCCCCTATAGGGATCCAGTAACCAGACTCAAAAGACTGCAAAATATGTATAGAAAGAGGCTTCTACTGTAGCAAGAAAGAAATCCCAAAAGATGATGGGGGAAAAAACTAACTAAAACAACATTGCTGATTGATCTATTTCTGACAAAAGAAAACATGCTTCTAGCTCATAGCTAGAAATTTCTTCCACGAGCTATAGTGTTTGAATAATAAATAAAGCACCCTTCACTGCATATAGTGAGTTAATTCCAAGTGTTACGTATTGATGTAAGGAGTTTCGATCACCATGTCCATACTCAGTCAAAATTAAAAAAGAAAAAAACACTATATTTTTCTAATAGCTCGTGTCTAACAAAGAAAGGCAACCTGCTAAGTCTGTAGCGTGGTTAAGTTGCCTATAAAACCTACCCATTTCCTACTTTTCCAAAGTAAAATATTGTTATATAGCCTTTGATGTAACAATGCTGTTCTTTTTTTCACAGCTTAGCCTGGTGTTTGAGATACTGTACGCATGAGTTGATTGAAACCTTAAAATATATAAAATATCCCATTAAAATATTGCTTTTTTGGGCCCAGAAAAACTGTCATGAAATATGAAATAATATATTTACTGATTCTATACAGTCAAATCAAAATGTATTTTCCTAATATTTTAAGTATAAATAATTAAGTCAAAATAAAGTAAAATGAAGATAATAGAGCATTATAAAGGCTGTTAAGACTCCTGAAGACTCTGAATGACATTACTTTCTCCCAATGTTTTCTCACACTTCTTACCTAAAAAGAATGCTTTCTATCCCCAATGCCAATATTTTACATAATAACATTTTAAACTATTTTAAAATCATATGTTTTGAAGCTTTTTATGCTTTACTGGTTTGCTGTGATTTTTGCTGGTGCATTAAAAACATTTAATCAACTTTCATACGGTAAAAAGAAAAGAGCTTGACTCAGGTCACAGCTAGATAGAAACATCTTAATATTATTTTAAAAAAATGTTTAAGCAATTACTTCTCTCTTCAGTTGAATTAAATAATGCAACGCTGTTCTAAAGTTGTATTTTGAAGGTCTAATAATATACCAGATGCACTGTGTAATTTTAATATTCAATTTTATGACTCATTTCTTTTCCAAAAAAGT